CGGTTTTTGCTGTTGTCGTTCTTATAGCAGCCACTACAAAAGGCACAAGCCAGATACTTCAGATTCTGTTCGGAAAAAGAGAAGAGTCTAAAACAAGGCTACCTATGTTAAAAAAGAAAAAGAAATACTTGGATTTTTAGTTTTTTGCTTTTAGAGGGCATTTTATTTCGGTGAAAGATAAAATTTAATTTTCATTTCATATGAAAGAATATAAAGGTTTTTAATAGCCTTTCATTGAAAAGAAATGGCTATTTTTTGTAATAGCTTCATTCAGAAAGAAAGAAAATAAATAATTAAAATGTTTTAAATTGTTCAGTTAAAATATATATTGAAATTCCCGTATAACTTCATGGGAAAAGTTTTAATGTTTTTTTCTTTTGAGGTTTTTACTTTATTTATATATATATAATGTAACAAAATATGCATTAAAACTCTCAACAAAAAGAGAGAAAAAATAAGAATGGCATTTTTTGTAAGCTCAGAATTAAATTCCAAATTATTATTCTTGTTTGCATAATAGTGTTGGTAAATTATAAACACGCACTGAAATGTAGTTTCCTTTATATATTTTTTACCAATTATTTTTTACGATAAAACTAAAAACTCATTCATTATATTTTTTCCTCTTAACAAATTTTGTTAACTGTTAGATTAGTAAATCAAATTTTAACACATGTTTATTTTATTGTACTTCATATCAGTAAGTTTGTTTTCCGATTTTCTCCCTTCATCTTAAACTCAATTAAAATTATTTTCTTAATTTTATAAAGGCATAGATCCATACTAAAGAGTGTTTTTTTTATCGTAGGATAATTATTCTTTACTTTTAAATGGCATTTTCGCAATCTTAAAGGAATGCGTCCTGATGAGAATCTTTAAGTTTTTCGATCAAGTTTTTATTATGCATATTATATAATTACATTAACAGTAGAATTTAGTACACTAATGATTAATGGAAATGTTTGTTTTCACACTGAGGGATTCAATACAAAGTTATAGAGTAGAACAAATAGCAAGGATTATGAATTATAAAGCAACCCATGACTACAAATGTCATCCCATAAAACTTGGTGTGTGATGATAGATTAAAAGTACTTTTAAACGATAAATGTCATACCTAATCTGCGATTAGGTGTGACATTTGCAGACACCTAGTCACTATGAGCTGACAATTCGTACGCATTTAAAATGGCTATTCCTGGGATCATCTAAATGCAATTTTTAACAAAACTAATAAAAAAAACGTAATATTAATATCGTTATAAGATATTTTACAGATAAATAAAACGCATAATATTAAAGGGTTGGTATCACGAAACGAGGCAAATAAGAAAACATTATTTAGTCTAAAGAAAAAAGAAATATACGCTTTTAATATGAAGTTTTTTACGGTTCAAAATTTAAAACTTTATAAATATTATATTTCAAATAGTAGAACTATACATTTTCGATTTTTAAATGACATTTTATTTTATCTTAAAGCAAATGTTTATCTTACCAATATGAATAAAATAAGTTACAGAAAAACATGCACAGATGTATCGGCTACACTGTAAAAGTTTCCGGAGCAAATTACGGTATAAAATACCGGTATCCATTGACCATGAAAACCCTTTTACCAATAAAACCTTTTTTTACCAAAACTTTCACGGTAATATTTATGTAATTATATTGATTCAATGATTTTACTGTAATTATTTCTGTGAAAATTATGGTATAGCAAACTTTTTGTTTTGTAATATGTTCCAGTGTAAATGGATTTTACGGTAAAATCACTTGCACACTGAGTGTCGGTACTTTTTACGGTAATTTGAATGGAATTTTTTAAAGTGTAGACATATTTAAACATTTAATCAAAATTTCGATTTCTTTAATTTGTTTTTCTTTAAGAAGAAAAATTATTTGAAAAAATACAAAATAATTCACCTTATATTTAGAAATTAATCGAATATCAGTCTGTATTTAAATCTTTCTGAACTTTTAAATGATTTACTTTTGTTATTAAAATAACACACAACTGGATACAAAAAAACAATACTAATATTAGTGCATATTAGTATAAGTATAACTAGACTAATATTGTTGCAACACAAGCATAACATCATTAAGTATTAATGTAAAATGTAATTTTTTTATTAAATAAAAGACTATGGTTTGCAAAGTTTGGTAAAACTTGTGCAAAATACACAAACGAAAGTTTTATAGTAAATTCCATATACGCATGAACCTTTTACAGAACTTTAGTTTAAAAAATTCAATATAACTGTCAAAACTTTGCTATTGTAGTTTAAGTTGCAGGCTTCTTCAATAAATGTTCTTTTGGAATAAAGCAATTGGTTGTTCGATTCTTAAGTCCTAACTTAAAGAAAGTCAAGAATAGAAAAGGAAGGTTCGAATAGTGAAAAAAACACAAATCACTTGCCTCACAAAGCGATCACTTGAACTTTGGAGAACCTGTCTTTCCCCTGGAAAGCACTTTCCTCAGCACAATTTCTTCAATTATTTTTGTCAAAGTTCTAACGTGGTTTCCAGATTCTACATTTATAAAAAGAAAGTAGGCCTATCTCGTTAAATCTTCTTTCCATATGCGTTTTTTTAGTTTTCTAGAATTCTACAAATATACGGAGTTCTACCATTTCTTTCATTTCCTATTATTTTTGTCTTTTTCATATCTGGAGAAAGAAGGCTTTAAAATTTTAATAAATATTGTTTTAAATTACATTTTTTTTTCTATTTATATTCTAAAAATATACGCAATAAATGCTATACGCTTTATTCTACAAATATACTCATGTCTACCATTTTTTTTCCTATTATTTTCGTCTTTTTCATATCTTGAAAAAAATTCCTTGGAACATTTGAAAAATATTGTTTAAAAAAATATTTTTTCTATTTCTAATTTAAACCTTTTTAAATTGCCACAAAATGTCTAGTTTTTGACCATTGGCCAATATTTTGTGATTTGATACGAAACAAAGGGCTTACTTATAGTTAGAAGAATAATTGTTAGAAGAATTACTGAAAATACTAAATATGTGTGTTACTGAATATTACTAATGGTTAGGAGACGATTCTGAAGCGTACAGGTAGTGAGTTCGAATCCCATGGTTATCCTAGATGTATGTATTTCTAATGTGTACACAAAGCTACATTTGTATGCGTAACAATAAATAAAATTATAAGAGTACCCCTTTCTAATAACATTAATGAAGTATATATGAGAAAAAGCTAAAATCAACTTTTAAATTTGTCATTTTGGACCACTTGTGAAGGTCGGAAAAAAGCTTGTACCCTTAACCATACCTGTCAGTTTATACGATCTTTGAAGAATTTTTTTCACAGTAGTACAATACTTATATTTCATTTACGATATTTCGAAATGAAGAATAATTTTCCTAACATAAAAATCACTCTTTATAATGCCCTTATATCGTAGAATTGAATATATATATATATATATATGGATTCATTCGATCAATAACAAAAAGAGAAAAATCAAAAAAATAAACAAACTTTCTTTAGGTCTGTAATCAATCGATTTTTCCTGTTCTTTTGTTTCTGGCAACCCCCGCGTTCTTCGTATTAATAAGTTAATTATGCCGTTGAATTTATTTAGCTAATTGGAAGGGTGGTATGTTTTTTTTCCTGTTTGACATACAACTTTTTAAAAAAGAAAACTTTGTTAG